AATGAAAAGTCCTGTAAATCAGTCTTGAAAGAGAAATAAATAATGCGAATTGCTTTTCTTTTATAAATAATTTAATAACAAGATGGATTTGTAAAATCTGTCTTAAAAGATCATATACAATTAATTTTCAAGATAAAGGTCTCTTATTGTTATCGTTATGCGTTATGCAGTTAAATTTTGATGTAAGTTACATTTTATGTGGTACTAATTTTTATTGGCTGATTTTGTCGATCAACAAGAAAATCCCGGAAATTTCCAAAAAAGGAAATTTGAAAAACAGTTCGGTAATATTGGTCCTACGAGTATTGGAAAGCATGGCACTAGCCGGATTCGAACCTGTAGCTAGTGCAATCTACGGACCCGCGTTCTAACCGTTAAGACATATCAGAATGATCATGTAATTTTTAAAATGTATTCCTTATAATCATATAAGATTCTACTTGAATAGTCGCATCTGATTGGATGAATTGTAATTAATTTTTTTTTTGAAGATATTTTGGTAACCATCTAAAATCGATAAAATTTTTTTTATTTTAATAAACTGTTGTGACTTATCAGTATATATATATTCCGCTATAGACCTCGTGTTTTACGCCAGTGAAATAGTTTAGTAGATCAAGTTAAAACCGATTAAATCAAACCGGTTCCAATTTCAACTGTATTGTTTGTTACACATTTGGGCACATGTTTAATAAGGACGTATTTACACAAAAATAAAATTTATATTTTATAGCATGACTTCTCGCTTAACGGGAACCAAGACTCCTAATGGCAAAGGCTTCCAGGATCCTGACGAAGAATGTCCTGTTTGCAGGAACACTCGATACCTTACACCCAATATGAGGCTGCTTGTGAGTGAATGTTATCATAAGATGTCGGTAAAAATCTTATTTTGGTTTTTTTTTTTCATATTGTAAAAAGAAAGATTTGTCCAAGATGAATTCGATCTATTATTAGGTGTCAATCGTGTATCGATCGGTTGTTCGCTAATGGTGCGACTGAATGTCCTATCCCAGGTTGTAAAAAGACATTAAGAAAAATAAGCTTTGTAGAACCGACTTTCGAAGATTTGAGTGTTGAGAAAGAAGTTCGAATTCGTAAAAAACTTGCTCAACAGTAAATTATATTTATATAAAGTTGACTTTATTACGACTCGGCTTTATCACGAAATACTTACTAGATAATGAATGTCTATAGGTTTAATAAGCGTAGAGAAGACTTTAATGCCCCAAAGGAATATAATGACTATCTTGAAATGGTTGAAAAGTTGGGTTTGTTTATGTTAAAAATTAGTATAACTTCATGTAAATGGAATTTTGACCTTAAAATGAGGTGTTTATCTCAAGTTTAGTATGGAATCTTAATAATGATATCGATCTGGAAAAAACGAAAGCTC